CCCCAGAATGCGTGGGTGCGGGCTCGCCTTCTCTGCCCTCCCTCTGCTGGTGGGCCGTCTGCTGCCCCTTTACTGAGAGTCTCACATGATGGGGTTTGGGGGTGATGGTGGGCTTCAGAGCCTACGGCCAAAAAAGAATTCTTGAAGACGTCTTTGGTGCAAAAAGGTGATTTTATTAGAGCACGGGGACAGGGCCCGAGGCAGAAAGAGCTGCACAGGGGTTGTGAAGACCGAGTGATTATATACTACGGAGTTCAGGAGGTAGAGTCAAAAGGGGGGCCTCCAGAAGGACTGCGATGTGCTAAAGAAGATGCCTAAGACACCTGAGGCCTTGCTATTGTCAAGCTGAGGTTGTTTTCCCTCCAGGAAGGCATTAGCATTAGACCTAGGAGGTTCTTGGAGAAACGGGTATTTGCCTCGAGTATCCATCAACGGGCTGCAGGTTACAAAGAAATGTAACTTCACCTGCCATTTCCTTCTTGCCTTTGTTCCCCACATCTATGGAGGGGAAGGTGATGTTGGGGCTCCAGGAAACTGAGTCTACAGGTTTCTGGAGATTGGGTTATTGGTAAGATTGCCTTTTTCTTGTAATATATGAAGATATTTGTAAACTGATGGAGACTCACGGCCTGCGACTCTGATCTCTATCAGTTAACCGTTGGTTTTCTGTCCTTTCCTTTGTCCTTGGGCAGCTGGGAGTGCCTGAGGAATGTCACACACATCCCCTGAGGGCAAGGGGGTGGGGGTTGCTAGCTTCTACTTTGTCCTCAGCCTGCCCCACACTCCCTCATCATCACACAGTCTGCTTCTGGGGCTCTCACTGTCCTGTCTCCATTTCTCAGGCCTTCCTTGAAGAAGTTTCTCCTCCACCACCCTTGTCTCTGAGGGTTCCCTTACTTCTCTTCTCCTTCTGGGAGATTTCCTCTGTCAGATCCCCCCTCCCCCTCCTGCTTGTTCCCTCTGGCATCATTGGGTCAATGATTATGGTGTTATTCCTGACCTTCCTGAGTGGCCGACTTGATGACTGTCCTCCAAGGGTGTCTGTCACTCTAGCCTTGACTCTGCTGTGCTTGGCCCTGTCCCAAGAGGTGTGGACAAGGCCCAGTTGGCCTGCTGTCCCCTGAGGATGTGAGGTATCAGGCCATGAGTCTTGAGGGGGCCAAGTCTGGTCCAGGGTTGTAGGGCCTGTTGCATCCACACGACTCCTGAAACAGAATGCTACAGGTACCAGTGACAGTCACAACAAAGTTTATCACAATGAGAGGCAAGGCCAACCGATCGGGACCGACACTCTTGACCAGAGTGCGGTCTGGAACAGCCGGGGTACAGAGTTTTTATAGCCGACCACATCGTCTTATCATCACCCGGGGATAGAATGAAGAAATAGTTCCCAGATGGGGGTGGAAACAGTTCAGACATGCCCTTGCCCCAATCCAAACACTAAACCAGTTGATTTTCCTTAAACTTTTGTTCCCTTGATTGATAGGACAGGCTGTTATCTTAATCTACTGTGTTAAAACAAAGCTGTTATTTCTTCAGGCTACAGGTTAGCCCTACACTACAACTTAACCCTTACAGGGCCAGCCAACCTGGAGTGTGGAGGGGTGAGGCCCTGGACAGGCTGAGACCCCACCCCTCAAGACCCTCTTCCTGCCATGCCCATCACCGCCCTCTGGCCGCCCTCCCTGGCTAGCCCCTGCGTTGGGCACTAGGCTCTCTGGGGAGCATGAGTGGCCATCCTCTGGCTTTGAAGGCCAGTGTGGGAAGGAGTCGACACCCTGTGGTGCCTGTTCGCGCTGCTCCCCACTGCCCCCAGCAGTGGCCTGGGGGTGGGAGCTGTAGTGTTGCCTCTTGCCGTCCAGGCCTCCGCCTCCGTGGTCTGAGCTTCTGTGGTCTGAGCCCACACCTGCGTGGTGGGCAGAGCATTTGCTCTGCAGAGGCCCGTTCTGAGGGTTTACTGTGGTGTTTGTTTCCGTGGCTCCTCACCACATGGGGCAGTCCTTGTCCCCATTTTACGGGTGAGGAATTTGAAGCCTGAGAGGTTCAGGCACAGAGGTAGACAGTGGGGAACCAGGACTTGGATAGTGCTCTGGTTATTTGTCATGAGAGGAATAAACCAGGCATATCATGTTTAAGTATCTATCATCTATCTATCTATCTATCTATCGGCTATCTACTTATCTATCATCTATCTATCTATCTATCTATCATCTTTCTATCTATTATCTGTATTTCACAACATGCCCGGCACACAGGAATGCTCGGGAAGGACTGGGGGAGTGGGTGACATGGAAGAGGAACTCAGCCCTGCCCTGCAATCGCCATGGTCTGGAGGGTGGACAGGGAGGCAGTCGGTCATGGGACAATCATGAGGAGGGTGGAGGATGTGGGAACATGGCCCTGAGCACAGAGGGGAGTCACCAGGAGGGGTTCTTGCCAGGAGGAGGACGGTGGGGCTGTGACTCAGGCACAGCCTCTGATTGCTGGGGTGAGGTCAGGCTGAGATCTCCTCAGGTGACAAGGGCCTCCGGAGGCTGCCTGGAGGTGATGATTTCCACCTCCAGGAAGTTGCTTCTGAAGGGTGGGGAGCAGGGAAAGGGTGCAGGCGCCTGGGAGCTGCAGGGGTGGGGGGCAATGGGAAGCATGTCCAGCCTGGCCTGGACACCACAGAGTCCAGCTCTGGAAGAGAGCATGGACCCCGCTCCCCTCATTTACAGAGGGGACACTGAGGCCCAGAGGGGTGGGACTTGCCGAGTGGTCAGGAGTGGGGACGACCAATAGACACCTGTTGTATCCCCGGGTCTGTAGGGCAGTCTGCACTTCCTCCGGGGGTCCCTGGGAGGCTGGGACACCAGGACCTGGTGTCTCTTTGCCGGTCTTCCTGACTGCCGTCTGCGTCCCAGGGGCAGGTCCCTGGTGGCCTCCAGAAAAATTGCTGAGTTTGTGTCCCAGGCTGCCCGCCCTGGCCCGAGGTGTCCTGGTAACTTCCCGCCTGGGGAGCACACGTCCCACCAGCCAAAGACACAATTCTAGAAGCGGGGTTTCCAGGTAAAAGGAACATCATACCTTAATGACGTTTTAATCTTTGCCAACGTAGGGGGTGGCGGGTTATTTAATTTCTGCTGATATTTCATTGATAACTAGCAATTTGAATGGTCTCCTATGTTCATCACTCATTTTTGCTCTTTGCTCATTTTTCTCTGAATGTTTGTTTTCTTTCCATTAATTGATAAGGATCTTCATAAATTAAGCATATTAACCTTCGTTCGGTAGTCTTTCTCCCCCCCAAGTTTGTAGATGCTTGTCATGTATTTAGGTGTGTAGGGTTTTTATAGGGCAAGGTTTTCGACCAGTATAGTCAACCATATTAGTGTTGTGTTTCCAACTCTGATGGGGGTTTGAGGGCACAGGACGGTGGGGGGG